TCGCCATGAACAACGGTGTCGCTGTAACTCCAATGGACACGGTCCCATCATCCCCCAATCTTCACTTTTATATCACCGGTCCATGCCTCAACAGCTCTACGTGAAATCTGAGATCTCACCATATTCCGTTTCCATGGAAACGCATCCTTCGCCAAAAAATACGATGTTGTTGTAATTCAATGGAAAATGGTCCAAACAGCACCAGACTTCAGACTATCATTTATGGGCCGGCCCTCAACAGCTCTATGTCAATTATGGGATGTCATCATATGCCGTTGCCATGGCGACAGATCCCTCGCCATGAAACATGGTGTTGTCGTAATTCAATGGAAAATCGTCCAAACGGCACCAGACTTCAGACTATCATTAATGGGCCTGCCCTCAACAGCTCTATGTCAATTAGGGGATGTCATCGTATGCCGTTGCCATGGCGACAGATCCCTCGCCATGAAACATGGTGTTGTCGTAATTCAATGGAAAATCGTCCAAACGGCACCATGCTTCAGACTATCATTAATGGTCCGGCCCTCAACAGCTCTATGTCAATTATGGGGTGTCATCATATGCCGTTGCCATGGCGACAGATCCCTCGCCATGAAACATGGTGTTGTTGTAATTCAATGGAAAATCGTCCAAACGGCGCCAGACTTCATATGATGGCTAATGGTCCGGCCCTCAACAGCTCTACGCCAATTATGGGATGTCACCATATGCCGTTTCCATGGCAACGCGTCCCTCGCCATAAAACACAATGTTGTCTTAAGTCAATGGAAAATGGTCCAAACTGCACCAGACTTCAGATGACAGTTAATGGTCCGGCCCTCAACACCTCAATATGACAATAGTGAGTTTTCCTCAAAAGCTGTTTCCATGGCAACGCTTCCCTCGCCGTTAAGCACGATATTGCTATAACTCCTGTGTAAATGGTAAAAAAGTGTTACAATTTCACATATGTGCTAACCGTCAAACCCTCGACACATATATGTGTAAGTTTTGAGATTTAGTCAAATGTCGTTGCTATGGTAACAAAATGGTCGCCGTGAAACACGATTTTCTCATAACTCCAGTTAACAGGCTCCAAACGGCACAACATTTCACAGTTTTGATAATGATGCAGCCCTCAACACATCTAAGCATATTATGGGGTGTCATCAAATGCCGTTGCCATGGCGACAGATCACCCGCCATCAAACACAATGTTTGTGTTACTGCTGTAACTCAAAGACATTGTCCGATCGGCCTGAAACTTCCCACGTTTGCCAACGGCCGAGTCCTCGAGACACCTAGACACACACGTCGACGTGCGGACAACAGCATGTGGAGCGTCGAAGACCCGCTCAGCGCTGCTTGCAGCTTTAATTATTATTATTATTATTATTCTAGATACCATTTACAGTATCTTCTTGATATTTTCTATTCTATATTTATATCATTGACCTTCTACTTTCCTCCTATTTTGTATATACTCTTAATATTTAAATGTTTTCATAAGATATAACACATTAAAAAGTGCTTTACAAAAGTGAAAGACATTAAGAAAAAGGCATTTTAAACAGTCATTAAAAAGCAACACAATCTACCTGCATTGCATTACTCTAAACGTGTAATAACGTGCTTTAACCAGTAGGTGGTTTGGGTTAAAAAGCTGTCAAGTTTACAGTGTTAACAAAATAAAATATACTGCTGTTTCTGGTTTAGTTTATGACGGATATATTTAGTTATTGTTTTGATATTTGTAACACAAAAGCGATGGAAAAAACCCACAGCAACACAGATGGTCTTAACATGACCCAGCGGTCTAGTAGTTAATAAAAAACAATAATATCGATACAAAATATTACTACTAACTTTATTGTGAAATTCAAACTGAACGGTAAAAGAATAGTTTCCGGTCTATTCTGAGCCCGATCTCTCTAGATAAATAAAAATAAAGAACAAGACAGATGTGTAATATTTAATGCAGCCGAACCATTTATTACAATGCATTCATGTGATGACTTTCAAAGAGTAGAGCAAGCTGAATAAAGTATGATTTTATCTTTTACGAAACGTTTTTTTTTTTCATATGGAATGCAGTTGGAGGTCAACCAATCACAGAGCTTGAGAACTAATCACGGGGTTTGTCAAACAGAGCACATGGTGTAGTCCTAAATGATAGCTGGGGATTCTGGGTAGTCTAGTGTCTTCTGCCATCCTCTACTCCGAAAAAATATTTGTTTCTCCGAATCGAAGGGGAAAAATACAAAAGCATTGCACACAATTTAAACCAATCAATGTTGTGTAATCAACAAGGATAATCTGGTGTTTTTTAGTCGATGAGTAGTGCAGATATCACTGTAAAATCAATCGACAGTAAGGGGAATACTTACTTCCGGGTGTACAATTCTCCGTTATCCAATGGGAATGAACGCTCACATTGCCTTTAAGGGCAGCTGACACAAACGAATGCCGTGCTTCCATGAGCGTCAAATCCCGCCGCAGATGGGAATACATTGCAATCAGATTAAAGCTATTTGCGTCCTTTTATGAAGCTGAAGGAGCCTAGGAACTGCACGCCTCGAGGACCCTGACCAAGCGTCGCTCCTGGACGTTTATGGAGTGTGTTGGTCTGTGACCCCTCCTGTTGTTCATTGATAAGCCTGAAACATGCACTTGTCAAGGTTCAGAGGCACATTTTGCAAATAGGGCAGTAGCCATCGATCATCTTAAGATAAGATATACTTTATTGATCCCAAGTTGGGAAATGTTTTTGTTACAGCAGCATACTACTTTGTTCTACTCCACTACAATTCAGAGGTCAACCTGGTATTTTTACTCCACTACATTTATTTTAGTTACTTTGCAGATTCTGATTAATGATGTGAAATATAAACAACCCTTAAATCAGACTTTAGTTACACCTGAGTCAAATTCAGGGAAGGTGATTGTCAAGTGCCAAAATAAGCTATGCAATATATTAGAAATTAAGTACTTTGTCAGGTTTAATATCTATCTGTAGATATACCCCCAAAGCTTTTTTCTTATTCAAAAGAAGACCTTAACTTAAAGTATTCTTTAATGTTTAAATAAAGCCTTATTAGTTTGTCTGTTTTGCACATCCTCCTGTTAATATCTTTGGACGTCCTGCACTAAACTGTTTTATTGTAGAGATCACTACAGTATCTTCTTGATATTTTCTATTCTATATTTATATCATTGACCTTCTACTTTCCCCCTATTTTGTATGTAGGCTACTCTTAATATTTGAATTTTCTCATCAAATATAACATATTCTACAACAAATTTCAATAACATGCTTTAACCACTAGGCAAGTTTACAGTGTTAAAACAATAAAATATATTATACAAATAACACACAGCATACAATGCCATAATAACTTTGCATTATTAGTGTTGGACACTTATGTATGTATAACATCTGAAGATGTGTAGTTTTATTCATTTTTTCACATAATTTCACAGGATATTGCTATATTATTTCACATATTGTTCTACATATGAATATCTGATTTGTAAAACATCATAGACATAAACGTATATCCGTCATTTAATGGTAAACTATTGAAATTCTGAATCCATAGATGTGTCTCCCATCACCCAAAACCCCTGACTATTCTCTCAACTCAGTATTTACATTCTTATATTCAAAGAAAATCAGCAATATCTTTAAAAACTACAAGTCCTGTTCTTTCAGCTGTGCACCGTTATGGTGTAAATATAGCCTATCTACCAATTGGATCAAATATAAAAGTCAGTCGAATTAGTGTTGATACTGCAAGGAGACGTATTGTGTGAAGAGAAATTGAAGATGTTGTTAAATTGCTGAAATGTCACATATTCAGTTTCGGTGGCAGTTCTTCATGTTTGTCTAGAAGTCTTCTCATCAGGGCTCTATAAATAGCGAACTACGGCAGATATGTAATATTTAATGCAGCCGAACCGTGTATTACAATGCCGTTATGCGATGACTTTCAAAGAGAAAAGCAAGCACACTCGGAATAAAGTATTATTTTCTTTTTTTATAATGTTTTCGGATTTCATATCGCATAAACACCATATCCCAACGTGCATTGCGGTTAAAATATCCAATCACCGAGCTTCAACGATAGCTGAGGATTATGGGCAGTTCGATGTTTTATCAAGATCTCTGAAAAAATAAATATGTCTCTCAGAAACGAAAAGGGAACAACCTATGGGAAAAACACAAAAGCAGTGTACACAATTTAAACAAATTAATGTTGTGTAATTAACAAGGATAAACTGATGTGTTTTAGTGGATGAGTACTGCATATACTAACGTAAAATCATTTGACAGTGAGGGGAATACGGTTTTATTATGAAAACTTTGAGACCGGAAATACTGTTTTCACCCCGTGAGGGTTGACGCCAACTTTACATGGACGCTGCCGTCAATAGAAATGAATCGGGGAAAGACGTAGTATATACACGTTCTCCTGGTGAGACTTCAAATCATCTTCGTAATATCTATCAAACTATAGATCCCACACATCCACTGGACGTAGATTTTAAAAGTACAATATACACATATCGCTAGAAATGTCATCAAAAAGCATTTTAATGGCCAAACTATCCTACAGTTTAGGATTTTCCAGAGAGGGTTATTTGTGAATAACGACCCTCTGGAGCGTTTGTAATCATCCGCCCATATGCCGCAAATTGTTGTTTCTTACACGACCACTAGAGGTGCTAAACTCTAAAACGTGACTGTCGGTCGTAATAAGCTGTTGAACAAACGACCTATTTGGTCGTATGAGTTGGGTTACTTGTTGTAATGTCTATGCTCTGCAACAGTATACCAAATCAAAAACAAATGAACCAGGAAGAGGAATAAAACGCTGCATGAAACCTGATGTACTTTTATGATTCTGTTTTCTTCAAGGTTGTGTCTTCCTGGTCGAATGTACTTATTGTAAGTCGCTTTGGATAAAAGCGTCAGCTAAATGCAATGTAATGTAATGTAATGCATGAGTTCCTCTTACCTCGTACAGTTCTGGTCTGACTGGCAGCACTTCTCCTCTTCCCTCTGTGGAGATAAACACATCCTTTATAGCACTTTGCATTAGTGGAGCTGATTCTCTCCAATGGGCAGAGCGTCACTTTACACTCAAGATTAAATGTGTCACGCTGCACGAATACGCAGGTGACATGAATTTCACATCTTCACTTCCTTCGTGTTGCCAGGCACAGATCTGGGTCTTTGCATTGACTCTACATGTAATCACACAACACTCTGTTATATCTGCTAATGCTAAACACAACCAGCTGACCCGGTTATCACTATTATTAATAATCATCTTAATAAAACATATTATATATCCTTAATATATCAGGTCAGGTTACAGCAGAAACTCTTACTTTGTGTCTGAGGGTCCAGGTTCATTTCTGAACTTCTCAAACCATTCTTTAGACCGGTCACTCATCAGAGAAAGCCAGCTGGAGAATGAAGATCTGTCCTCTTCCTCATCTTTTAAACCACTCATCTTCTCCAGTCTGAGAGATACACCAGTAACACTGGACACACACACACACACACACACACACACACACACACACACACACACACACACACACACACACACACACACACACACACAATGTAACTCTGATGGATCAGCAAACAGGAAGTAAACAGAGTTTGCAGAAGTCTCATTGGACTCTAGGACGCTGATTTTTAACAAAGAAGTTTTGTTATCAGTCTGACAGAGTAATGAATGTGTTTAAAGCAGATCCTGGTGTTAGCACTCACCCTGTTCTCCTCCTGCTCCGTCCAGCTCTAAAATGGCATCTTGCAGTCTGACTTCTTAATTGGACTTTAACACCTTCCTGTCTGCAGCTCCTCCTCTTTGTTGCAGCCTTACCACCAGCTCACATACAGGGACAGTATCTATCAGTGAGATAGAAATAGAGCTCAAAATGTGTTTTAGCTAACAAGTACAATATCTGAGTACTTCTACTTTAACTCAAGTACAATCTCTGAGTGCTTCTACTTTAACTCAAGTACAATCTCTGAGTACTTCTACTTTAACTCAAGTACAATATCTGAGTACTTCTACTTTAACTCAAGTACAATCTCTGAGTACTTCTACTTTAACTTAAGTACAATCTCTGAGTACTTCTCCCATTCTACCCAGCATTACAAATCATCTCAGAGTCTCACACAGCTTCCTCCCTGAGGTGCATTTTGTGATCATATGTTTTGCTGAGGCTGTTTCCGTGTGTTTTATTCATGACGCCTGACCGTAGACTGAATATATAAAGCGCCTGACCCACACTCAGTTTTTGGGATTGTTCCCCTCAGACTGACATTATCAACACACACATAGGGATTCTGCTCACAGTGTGTTGATGTAATTGCCTCAGCACTGCTGAAGGATTTGTGCACCGATCCCCTGCTGCTGGAGATGCATTAATATGTACAGCCCTGTGTGTGTGTGTGTGTGTGTGTGTGTGTGTGTGTGTGTGTGTGTGTGTGTGTGTGTGTGTGTGTGTGTGTGCGCGCGTGCGTGCGTGCGTGTGTGTTGTTATCCGAAGATGACATTTCACTTGATATTAGTCGGTCTCTGCAGGATTAAAGATGTCTTCAGACGTATGGAGCCCTCGTAGCTGCACAGTGAAACTCAGTATGTCTCTTTTTGTTGTACGTGCATTGATTTTGTGATGTTTGGTTCACTTCGATTATTCGTAGCTTCCCCACCAAAATACAGTAAACACTAAATACAGATCTAACTCAGGAGCTGGACTTGGTTTGGATCAACGTTTTAACCCGGTCTAAAACAACAGGTGTTGCAACAGGAACATATTTTTCTTTCTGTCTGTCTGTCTGTCTGTCTGTCTGTCTGTCTGTCTGTCTGTCTGTCTGTCTTTTTCTTTCTTTCTTCTTCTTCTTCTTCTTCTTCTTCTTCTTCTGTCCCCTTCAGTGTTTACTTCCTGGCCGTTTCTCAATCTCGAGGATGCTGGCTTGGTAGTCGCGTACTTCCAAGTCACTTCCTTCAGAAACGAAGCAAGTATATTTCCAAGCCACGGCTTCGGAAAACGAAGAAGAATGGAACAGGCTAACAAGTGTGCCACTCTCTCTAACGGTTTCAACATAAACTGTACCGAAAATAAATACCTCACGATGTCGATCTAATTATGAACTTGCTTTACTTTCAGGAAACACATTTTGGTGATAACGAACAAATGTAACAAAGTAAAATATTTACCAACACATGTTCTACGCCACTACATACTTACATTTCAATGTGTGCTGCGTCGGGTCAGCAATTATCCGCAAGGTTTTTTGAAATTGGTCGGTAAGCAAAGCATTGTGGGGATTTTAAGGATGCGAAGTCTACCCATGTGCAGCCTCGAAATTTCCCCCAAACCAAGGGCGCGGCCTCGGTGGAATTCCAAGTATGCTGGAGATTGGAACAGTACTTCGGCGGCACTCGATGACGTAGCATCCTTGAAATATTGGCTTGGACGCCAAAATCCTCGCGATTGAGAAACGGCCAGTGACTATCTTCTTCTACTGTTCCCTTTAATGTTTATTTCCTGTCTGTCTTCTTCTGCTGTTCCCTTTAGTGTTTACTTCCTGTCTGTCTCCTTCTACTGTTCCCTTTAGTGTTTACTTCCTGTTAGCATAAATTAACAGACCTCCAAAATGGGCCAATCAGAATCGAGTGTCAAACTAAGCTGTGTAACAAAGGTTGATAAAAGACAGGTTTATATGACATGCAGTTAACAGCTGGTGATCTTAGCGTGTTCTGGATGCTGTGAAAGTGTGTAATCCATCATGTGGTGTGTCTTTAAGTCTCAGTCCACACACTGAAGGTCACAGTAAACATGATGAATGAGAGGAATCCTCTGCAGAGATGCGCCTCATGATGGGAGGGTTTCTAGTCCTGCAGCACATTTCCTGCCTGGCTCAAGCTGTTTAAATCAAACAACTGCTGATTACTGAAGGGGCTTACAGGGATACATACCCAGGGTCCTGAGGGGTCAGGGGTCATGACTTCTGTTGAAATACAACACAAAACGACCACAAAGAGATGCTACATGACTGACAACAAACAAGGCACACCAAAATAAGTAATGTGAGCTTGTTGTACTTCCTTTATAGCCCAACATTAGCCTCCTTTAGCTTAGCGGTGGTGACGTGAAGTCATGTGACCGTGCAGTAGTTCCTTTATAGCCCAACATTAGCCACCTTTAGCTTAGCGGTGGTGACGTGAAGTCATGTGACCGTGCTGTAGTTCCTTTATAGCCCAACATTAGCCTCCTTTAGCTTAGCGGTGGTGACGTGAAGTCATGTGACCGTGCAGTAGTTCCTTTATAGCCCAACATTAGCCGCCTTAGCTTAGCGTTGGTGACGTGAAGTCATGTGACCGTGCTGTAGTTCCTTTATAACCCAACATTAGTCGCCTTTAGCTTAGCGGTGGTGACGTGATGTGACCGTGCTGTAGTTCCTTTATAGCCCAACATTAGCCGCCTTTAGCTTAGCGGTGGAGACGTGAAGTCATGTGATCGTGCTGGAGTTCCTTTATAGCCCAACATTAGCCGCCTTTAGCTTAGCGGTGGTGACGTGAAGTCAAGTGACCGTGCTGGAGTTCCTTTATAGCCCAACATTAGCCGCCTTTAGCTTAGCGGTGGTGACGTGAAGTCATGTGACCGTGCAGTAGTTCCTTTATAGCCCAACATTAGCCACCTTTAGCTTAGCGGTCGTGACGTGAAGTCATGTGACCGTGCTGTAGTTCCTTTATAGCCCAACATTAGCCGCCTTAGCTTAGCGTTGGTGACGTGAAGTCATGTGACCGTGCTGTAGTTCCTTTATAACCCAACATTAGTCGCCTTTAGCTTAGCGGTAGTGACGTGATGTGACCGTGCTGTAGTTCCTTAATAGCCCGACATTAGCCTCCTTTAGCTTAGCGGTGGTGAAGTCATGTGACCGAGCTGTAGTTCCTTTATAGCCCAACATTAGCCTCCTTTAGCTTAGCGGTGGTGATGTGAAGTCATGTGACCGTGCTGTAGTTCCTTTATAGCCCAACATTAGCCACCTTTAGCTTAGCGGTGGTGACGTGAAGTCATGTGACCGTGCTGTAGTTCCTTTATAGCCCAACATTAGCCGCCTTAGCTTAGCGTTGGTGACGTGAAGTCATGTGACCGTGCTGTAGTTCCTTTATAGCCCAACATTAGCCGCCTTTAGCTTAGCGGTGGTGACGTGATGTGACCGTGCTGTAGTTCCTTTATAGCCCAACATTAGCCGCCTTTAGCTTAGCGGTGGTGACGTGAAGTCAAGTGACCGTGCTGGAGTTCCTTTATAGCCCAACGTTAGCCGCCTTTAGCTTAGCGTGGTGACGTGAAGTCATGTGACCGTGCTGTAGTTCCTTTATAGCCCAACATTAGCCTCCTTTAGCTTAGCGGTGGTGACATGAAGTCATGTGACCGTGCTGTAGTTCCTTTATAGCCCAACATTAGCCTCCTTTAGCTTAGCGGTGGTGACGTGAAGTCATGTGACCGTGCTGTAGTTCCTTTATACAACATTAGCCTCCTTTAGCTTAGCGGTGGTGACGTGAAGTCATGTGACCGTGCTGTAGTTCCTTTATAGCCCGACATTAGCCTCCTTTAGCTTAGCGGTGGTGAAGTCATGTGACCGAGCTGTAGTTCCTTTATAGCCCAACATTAGCCTCCTTTAGCTTAGCGGTGGTGATGTGAAGTCATGTGACCGTGCTGTAGTTCCTTTATAGCCCAACATTAGCCTCCTTTAGCTTAGCGTGGTGACGTGAAGTCATGTGACCGTGCTGTAGTTCCTTTATAGCCCAACATTAGCCTCCTTTAGCTTAGCGGTGGTGACATGAAGTCATGTGACCGTGCTGTAGTTCCTTTATAGCCCAACATTAGCCTCCTTTAGCTTAGCGGTGGTGACGTGAAGTCATGTGACCGTGCTGTAGTTCCTTTATACAACATTAGCCTCCTTTAGCTTAGTGGTGGTGACGTGAAGTCATGTGACCGTGCTGCAGTTCCTTTACAGCTGGGTGACCAGACGTCCCCGTTTTCCGGGGACAGTACCCATTTGTATTGGCCTGTCCCCGGTTGAAACTGTCCCCGGAAATGTCCCAGTTTTTTAATATACGTTAAAAACACATAGCAAGGTGAAATAAAACGTTTCATGTCAGGAAAAAATGGGTAAACAGACTGTGGTCAAGCCAGCCTCCACTTCGGAAAACACACTCAAGCTGCCCGCACGTTGTATTGCTGTGCGCGAATATGCATTACAGTAGAGGCCTGTAAAAACTGCGAAATAAAATAAATAAATAAAAAGCGTTTACTCAGTCAATAACAAATATACCTAAAAAACACACCAAACATATTCATTCAAATTCAAATTCAAAACCTTTATTTATCCAGGTAAAATCCCATTGAGATCAATGATCTCTTTTTCAAGGGAGACCTGCAGCAGTAGGTTCCACAAGAAGACATAAACAACAGAACAACAGAACAACAAAAGGACATCATACAGCAAAATGTACAGGGATTACAATTTACATATTTAACCACAAGTACAGGTACCAACAGCATCTGATTGAGTAGCATCCAACCGAGCTTTAAAAACATGTAGTGGTACTAGCTTGGTAATTTTCCATTCTTTTTGCAGACTGTTCCATGTTAGTGGAGCTGCACATCTAAAAGCTTTCTTCCCTAAGACAGTCCTAGCACTTGGCACATTTAATAAAACCACAGCATGCGATCTCAGGCAATAAGTACTTTCAATTGGCAGAGAGATCAGGGAGCAGATATAAGATGGTAGTTTATCCAACATGGCTTTGTAAATGAAAAAGTACCAGTGACTGAGCCTCCGTACAGTAAGTGATGGCATAACCGCCTTGGTATACAGGGTACAGTGAT